GGGGGGGGGGGGGGGGGGGCAGGGTGTATGTATATACACACCTGGTGCGTGTAGAGCGCCTGGGCGCGGGCGAGGGCGCGCGCGAGGGCGAGGGCGCGCGCGAGGGCGAGCGCGTGGGTGGCGGGCGCGCGCAGGTCGGCGGTGGCGTGCGCCAGCAGCGGGGGGGGGGGGGGGGGCAGGGTGTATGTATATACACACCTGGTGCGTGTAGAGCGCCTGGGCGCGGGCGAGGGCGCGCGCGAGGGCGAGCGCGTGGGTGGCGGGCGCGCGCAGGTCGGCGGTGGCGTGCGCCAGCAGCAGGCGGCGGGGGGGCAGGTTCCCCGCGCGCCGGTACACCGCGCCCGCGCCGCCCGCCGCGCGACCGCCGTACCGCTCCGTCCAGTACGAGTCTGAGGGTAACGAAACCATTAAAATGCTAAAATAAAAAGTAACCTGAACTGCCTTATTCTTAAACGCGTACTGTAGTCTACGTTTCGTAGTAAGGGGAAAAACTTAATCAGAAGTTTTAAAACAAGGTAATTTTTATAGATTTAAATGTGTTCTTTGAAAATTAGGGAACAACTATTTTAATTATTTTTCCGTCCCTAAATATTGAATTCTACCAATTCTTAAAGCAATTTAAGATGATATGGAAGATTTCTTAATGTTATACTCGACTGGTGAAAATACCACCACATCATCGATATATAAAAGAAGAAAAAAAGTCTCCGTGGTATATTGTCAATTAATATCTAAAATGTTTAAGTATTCTTTGAACTAAAGGTCATTCAGAGAAATTCTAAGAAACCAAATGAGATAGTGATAGTGTTTTACCTATACTCTCTCTAAGCACTGCAACTTGGCAGTAAGTCTTTCCGAGATCGAAAGTAGCAAAAATATGAGGAAAAATACAGCACATTCACAGCTATTCTTGTGTCAAATGCAGACCAGTAAAGGACGGCTTTGGCACGAAGAGAACAGACAATAGAGAACAGACTGAGCATTGCTAGTCCAAGCAGACAAAAAATGTGATTGAAACAAAGCGAGGTTACGGACCTTGTTTTTATAGTTATATATTAGTTTTTCTTACTTTTTAGAGAGTTGTCTATATAATGCGAGTGTGACTTATGCTTTTCACACAATTGCACGATAAAGCATTAGGTGGCTTTGGTACTAAATGGATTAAGAATTAACAGTTGAAATTTGAATTAGTTCTGTCATAAAGAATTAGAGGGTTGCGTGTTTATAGACGCCAGACGATAGCTTCACTGACAATATTTAGACACTAATTAGACGTGGCTAGGCACCGCGTCACGTTGCGCGGGTCGGACGCGGCCGCCGCGCCGCTACTATGGAAGGTACTGACTATGATGCGCGAGGTCAGCCAGCGGCGCTAACACGGCTAGGCACCGCGTCACGTTGCGCGGGTCGGACGCGGCCGCCGCGCCGCTACTATGGAAGGTACTGACTATGATGCGCGAGGTCAGCCAGCGGCGCTAACGCGGCTAGGCACCGCGTCACGTTGCGCGGGTCGGACGCGGCCGCCGCGCCGCTACTATGGAAGGTACTGACTATGATGCGCGAGGTCAGCCAGCGGCGCTAACGCGGCTAGGCACCGAGTCACGTTGCGCGGGTCGGACGCGGCCGCCGCGCCGCTACTATGGAAGGTACTGACTATGATGCGCGAGGTCAGCCAGCGGCGCTAACGCGGCTAGGCACCGCGTCACGTTGCGCGGGTCGGACGCGGCCGCCGCGCCGCTACTATGGAAGGTACTGACTATGATGCGCGAGGTCAGCCAGCGGCGCTAACGCGGCTAGGCACCGCGTCACGTTGCGCGGGTCGGACGCAGCCCCGCGCCGCTACTATGGAAGGTACTGACTATGATGCGCGAGGTCAGCCAGCGGCGCTAACGCGGCTAGGCACCGCGTCACGTTGCGCGGGTCGGACGCGGCCGCCGCGCCGCTACTATGGAAGGTACTGACTATGATGCGCGAGGTCAGCCAGCGGCGCTAACGCGGCTAGGCACCGCGTCACGTTGCGCGGGTCGGACGCGGCCGCCGCGCCGCTACTATGGAAGGTACTGACTATGATGCGCGAGGTCAGCCAGCGGCGCTAACGCGGCTAGGCACCGCGTCACGTTGCGCGGGTCGGACGCGGCCGCCGCGCCGCTACTATGGAAGGTACTGACTATGATGCGCGAGGTCAGCCAGCGGCGCTAACGCGGCTAGGCACCGCGTCACGTTGCGCGGGTCGGACGCGGCCGCCGCGCCGCTACTATGGAAGGTACTGACTATGATGCGCGAGGTCAGCCAGCGGCGCTAACGCGGCTAGGCACCGCGTCACGTTGCGCGGGTCGGACGCGGCCGCCGCGCCGCTACTATGGAAGGTACTGACTATGATGCGCGAGGTCAGCCAGCGGCGCTAACGCGGCTAGGCACCGAGTCACGTTGCGCGGGTCGGACGCGGCCGCCGCGCCGCTACTATGGAAGGTACTGACTATGATGCGCGAGGTCAGCCAGCGGCGCTAACGCGGCTAGGCACCGCGTCACGTTGCGCGGGTCGGACGCGGCCGCCGCGCCGCTACTATGGAAGGTACTGACTATGATGCGCGAGGTCAGCCAGCGGCGCTAACGCGGCTAGGCACCGCGTCACGTTGCGCGGGTCGGACGCGGCCGCCGCGCCGCTACTATGGAAGGTACTGACTATGATGCGCGAGGTCAGCCAGCGGCGCTAACGCGGCTAGGCACCGCGTCACGTTGCGCGGGTCGGACGCGGCCGCCGCGCCGCTACTATGGAAGGTACTGACTATGATGCGCGAGGTCAGCCAGCGGCGCTAACGCGGCTAGGCACCGCGTCACGTTGCGCGGGTCGGACGCGGCCGCCGCGCCGCTACTATGGAAGGTACTGACTATGATGCGCGAGGTCAGCCAGCGGCGCTAACGCGGCTAGGCACCGCGTCACGTTGCGCGGGTCGGACGCGGCCGCCGCGCCGCTACTATGGAAGGTACTGACTATGATGCGCGAGGTCAGCCAGCGGCGCTAACGCGGCTAGGCACCGCGTCACGTTGCGCGGGTCGGACGCGGCCGCCGCGCCGCTACTATGGAAGGTACTGACTATGATGCGCGAGGTCAGCCAGCGGCGCTAACGCGGCTAGGCACCGCGTCACGTTGCGCGGGTCGGACGCGGCCGCCGCGCCGCTACTATGGAAGGTACTGACTATGATGCGCGAGGTCAGCCAGCGGCGCTAACGCGGCTAGGCACCGCGTCACGTTGCGCGGGTCGGACGCGGCCGCCGCGCCGCTACTATGGAAGGTACTGACTATGATGCGCGAGGTCAGCCAGCGGCGCTAACGCGGCTAGGCACCGCGTCACGTTGCGCGGGTCGGACGCGGCCGCCGCGCCGCTACTATGGAAGGTACTGACTATGATGCGCGAGGTCAGCCAGCGGCGCTAACGCGGCTAGGCACCGCGTCACGTTGCGCGGGTCGGACGCGGCCGCCGCAGCCGCCGCCGCGCCGCCGTAGCCTCGCCCCCACACGCCCACGCGGCTGGCGTCCACCATTTTCAAGTTGTCGCGAAGATACCTGTGAGGCAACGTAGACGAACCTATGTTTAATAAAAGGACATTGTTCAGCGTCCATACATAGTTAGCCTAAGAACCAACAATCATGAAAAATTATTTTCTAGGTTCAAAATCGTAAGTAAATGACTGTAAAAACAAATATTATTGACGGACACTTCTGAGAACTTAAAATATTATTTATAAACTCAATTTTTTTTGAGGTTATGTTTAATATTCAATGAAACATAGGTCAACCTATGAATTTAGTATAAACTCAGTATGAAGTGAATTAATATTATAACTAATTCATTTTATTCGGTGCGATTTTAAAGAATTAACTATTAGGAGAAACTTGGTTAGGTAGGAATCATGAATAAAATAAAAATTGTAGTTTTGCTTCTTATTTATTGACTATTTTTTCCATAAATGTATCATATTGTTTATTGTATTTATTTGTATAACACATGTGTTCTTGAATAATTTGGCAGTATGATCCTCTCAGGATATTGTGGCACAGGTTCACTAGCACTTGGTAATAAGGGCTCTGCTCAGTGCTCTTTGGTAACATCGATGGCATATTAGATAGCCGAAATAGTTAAATTAAAGGAAAAACAATCGCAAATAAACATATACAACAGGTAATCCGAAACGAGAATGCACTTTCCGGTATAATAAACTACTCTTTGGAATGCACGAATGCCACAGATTAATATGAAACTGCATGCACCACAACCACAGAGTAACAAGTTTTATGCCGGCCCTTCACTTCACAAAAGTTTGTCCTTGTCATGCTTAATAAGGAATGAAAAGAACAGACTGATGTCATGTTTTAAAATAGCAAATACGAATAGCCAAGTGAAGTGCCGGCATTAGGAAGAAAGAGTGTCTTGTTTGCAGCGCTGCCATAGATTATACACTTAAAATGGTATTTAATGTCTCAGATTATTTTTTAACTTGTTAATTTAGCTTACTTAACTGGAAGTGTCCGTTACAATCTAAATACTGATAATTATCGCAAAAAATATACTAAGAATTATCATAAATGCCAAATTGGTGTTGGTTCTTAGGCCAATTTTAACATTGTCCTTTAAAGCTCGATGGTGGTCAGTGTTCAGCAACTTTTGCAATAGCCAAAAATTTACTGCCTGGAGCTCCTCGGTGCTTGAGAAGGCGCTTTATTCAGTAATGTTAGACCCACCAATCAGTAATGTGCCCATAAGGTGGCTTGTTCTCCTTGTTACACCTATTTCTAATATCTAAATCTTTGCCAACAAAAAACGGACTATATAGCAAATTAAAGCTAAATATTCAATACAAAGCGAAGAAAATACATAAAAACGAGCTTCAAAGACGATAGTTTACGCGATAATACTTTAGTAATCCACGCGAAATGTTTACATCTCAATTAAGTTATTATTTATTGAGTAAGTTTTTAAAAGACTTAGAATATAGTGTACTTACGATAATACTGCAATTTGATCTTCTACGTCTACCGTCAAAAGCTTATTATATATTTCTGTTCTCATCTCTTCTCCCTGTGGAATTTAAATCATAGTTATTCGACACTTAATTACATAAAGGCTTCCAATAGTTAGAGAACAGAAAGAATTAATTTTAATTAATTATTTTAGTTTTCCCATTTGTCAAAAATTACATCAACATTTGAAAGCTAATATTAATAAAAATAATTGAAATAACAAATATATGAGAAAATATAAACATACGAAAATGCGTTATAAATAGGTATTTATTTTTTCACAGTAACGGCCAAATTTAGGGACGTCAATACGTTACAGTGCAGCGACGAAAGAATGCAATCCTGACAAGTCCTGTCAGTTCCTTAAGGCGACAGAATTAAAGTTAATTTTTGGATAGTTTGTGAGTGAAACTTCTTTGCACGATCTGAGGGTAACTTTTCAAGGCCGCGTCACGATTTGAGCGTCAGATTTTATTTTTGGAGTTTACTCCTTAAGAATCGATTTGCATATATAAGGGGCCCGGTATGAGAAAAATGTTAGGAGTAAAATATTCTGAACAAATGACCTCGTTACATTTTTGTGCGCAACCTCATCTGCGCACCTTTCACTTTTAGCCATGGCAACGGATAAAAAACATTAAGTTGTCACAAATGTCAATAAAATAAATAAACTAAAAATAGATAAAATCGGAGCAAAATTAATGAAAACAAATATATAACAGAATATAGAGAAATGCCGGTAAGTGTCCAGCACTCTGGAATAGTGATTTTCAGTACAGATGGAATTATAATACATATTTACAAAATGATGACTAGTGTGTGATATTTTTGAAATTGTGTGTTTCCAGAAATACATAATAAAATATATGATGAATATCGATGATGTAATGATGTTAGATGATAAAATGTGTGACATGGAACCTATGATAGTCGAAACCATGGGACGATTCCTGAGGTATCTCTACTTGTAACCGACTATTCGGACTTGATTTTGTTTTGTGTCTGTTCAAAGACAATCGTTTTTAGAGATTAAACTCCGGCGTGCGTCGGAGCTGACACACACAATTTTTTAATTCGATTTCGTTAGACGATTTTGTAATTTTAAAGGACGGATTAATGTAAACAACTAGAGAGAAAGAGAATAAGCACGCTATATATTTATTTTAATGTTCCTCTTTGTACGTATATATCAAGGTCGTCATACCAAAGATAAATCATCAGTTAAAAAACTTACACACCATGTACGTTCCTATTCTAACGAAATATCAGATTACTTTTGTTAAATTTTTACGTTTTTTTAAATTATGTTAATATATATTTATATGAATACTAACTGACCCAGCGCCGTATCGCCATAAAATTATGGGTGGTAGACGGGTGAAAATTTAGAGCTGTACTTATGTGTTTTAAATGCCACGTTATAAAAAAATAAAAAAGTAACTAAAATCTAAAAAAATGTTAGGGGTGGACAACCCTTATCACTTAGGGGTATGAAAAATAGATAGTAGCCGATTCTCAGACCTACTGAATATGCATATAAAGTTTCATAAAAATCGGTCAAGCTGTTTCGGAGGAGTATGGTAACTAACAATGTGACACGAGAATTTTATATATAAGACTAGCTGACCCAGCGAACTTCGTACCGCCATAAAAAATAGGGGTTAGTGGTAGAAAGTTGAAAATTTAGAGATGTATGTATTTTTGTATGATGTATCATAAAAAAAATAAAAAAAAATATCTAAAATTGAAAAAAAAAATGGGGTGGATAACCCTTAACATTTAGGGGGATGAAAAATAGATGTTGTCCGATTCTCAGACCTACCCAATATGTACACAAAATTTCATGAGAATCGGGAAAGCCGTTTCGGAGGAGTTTAACCACGAACACCGCGACACGAGAATTTTATATATTAGATTAGTACGTTTCATTTCTGACATGCGTACTCTGTACGCACGCTGTTTATTTGACCAGATCGAAAATATACTTTATTCCGTCGTCTTATGGAACTGACACGCTCTTTCAGCAATAATATGGGTGGGTTACCTGTCCTCCAGAGCCCCTAGCGTCGATCTCCGCGACGATGAAGTTGCGCGCCGCAGCTAAGTACCAGCCCCAGCCGGGCCGCCAGCGCTCCGTCACCAGCTGCCCGCCCGGCGACGCCCCGCTGCACACCCATCACAATCGTGACCACACAACAGTACACACCCATCACAATCGTGACCACACCACACATACACACACCCATGACTACACCACAAAATAAAAATAAAAACAAACCATCTTTATTTAAATTGAAAGAATATTACAACTCTTTCGAATCGTCCATATATTTTTCCCTACTACCCGTTTTGGATATTATTTAAGCTGTGGTGAAAAATGGGAGAAAAAGAACTTCACAGCGTTAAATCATGTAACAACATTTACAAAATATTAATAATAAAAAATAGGTTGTCTGTAAAGTCGGTTTACTGACGATACTTGAACGTGACAACGTTTTTTTACAATGTACATAGTTTTTACAAGTATGAATGTGCTTTGAGGGATTGTTTTACAACAATTATCGTTGCTATAAACAATTGACACCACATTCACTTTTCACTGCACTTCATACTTGACGAATAACATTTAAATGTATTATTGTATAGCAGCTGTCCACGCGGACGCATCGCTCACTCAAGTAGGAGAGAGACAGATGTCGAACGCTGCCGAACGCGGAGGCCGATTGTGCCTCTTTGTCGCTCGTTGCGCGCTCTCGCTTGAACTTCAAGCCTTAAATGGAACGCCTCAGAGCGAGGTAACGTCGCATGAGTCATGTTTTTTGTGCGTGCAGTGGCTCCATCGAATTATTAGACGTTGTCACGTCAATAATAATAATTCATTTATTGTGGAGCATAGGTACAATATTGGGGTGTTACATCAGTGCATACAGTTCAGCTATGTCCTGCCATAAGGCGTAATTTATAATATCAAGTCAGTGTCAATCACATACACAAGCATAAGCATGACAACATGACACATACACAACACACCGAACACAATTGTGACTACACAACATATTCTCATCCATAATAATGTGACCACACTACCATCTAATATGAGAGAACAATTCAAGAGTTCCCATTATGTGTAATTGTATGGTCATGGTAACTAAAAAATATATGAATCTAGAGGTCTTCCGTGCTTTAAAAAGGCATCACTCTAAACCGTTGGTCCAGGCTGCATCTGCAGTCGATAGCACTCAGTAAACCGCACTGGGCCAACATACCGGCCCAACTTTTCTAATTATTCATCCTTATGGAATACCTGGGGGCCATTCGCCTAACGGAAATGCTATGGAAAACGCTAACGCTTACGATTTCATTTTGTTATTTCTTGCCGCCTGAGGTTTTCAAATGCCTCGCGCTCTTTTTTTTCTTTTGCATTGGTAACTGTGTTGCCAGGTCTCCAGATTTTACAGTAGATCTCCTGTTTTTCTGAAATTTCTCCTGTTCTACTGTTTTTCTACATGAATCTCCTGTTTTTTTAGAAAACGATTTTCTTTTTTAAATTGCATGTTGAGTTGCATTTTTCGTCATTAATAATGTAGATAACCTTAATAATTATAAAATAAATAAATGTAATAGTCTAAAGAAAAAATAGCTTTGAGGGGCGGCAGAAGCCACAGAAACACATTCGTTACTGATATTTATCTTGATTTATTGATTTGATTTACCATTTCTAGGAGGGGGGGGGGGGGGGGTGCAAACCGGAAAAAGTACATCCCTGCATCTACCGTTTTTCTTGTAGCTGTTTCCATACATCTACTGTTTTTACCTGTAACGCCTCCCGATTTTTAAAAATCGTTAAAAATCGGACCTGAAAACACTGATTGGTAATAAAAATATTTAAAAAATGAGCGTGAGGTATATCAATCTAATAAAATCGTGAGCGTTAGCGTTTTCCAAAGCATTTCCATAAGGCGAATGGCCCCCTGTACCCCAGCTCTGTAGACATAGATTTGCTGATGTTGATGATGTGAAAAGACCATATTGTTGATTTATCTTTATTATCTTATCTATACGTTACTTACATTTGTAAGACTAAAGGCAGAGGAAGGTCGTCTGTTTCTCTGAATCCAGGCGGCAGAAGAAGCCTCACCCGCGCCTCTCTATTGGTTTGTACCTATTAACAAATTTACATAGGCTTGAAACCGGTTTCAAAAATACCGGTAAATAAAGGTTAATACTGGTTTTTTGTAAAGGTTTCGTGCACACGTCGGCATCGCTTGAAGTTTGTTTTGTTGAACTAATCAAGTCACAACTTGTTAATGCTCAGAGATTGATGCATTTATTGACACGTTTGCTAGCGTCTAGTGAGTCAAGTTATTCATTTTGTAGTTGTGTATTTATTTCAGCCGTCAGTAAGAGCGAAATGAAACCCTTTAAAACCGCTAAATTGATTCAAAACCTTTTTGATTTCGCTTTTTAGGAAAACTGGTTTTTTAAAGGTTAAGGTAGAGGCAAACCTAAATAAAACGCTCCTAATGTACTTGATACTGATTTAGGGTTGAAACAAGCCCTGTTATTAGAAATGATGTTTACTGTTATTTGGCACTCGGGTTAAGTTATATTGCATCATCGAAATAAAGAAAAAGAATGACAAAAACACTCCCTAACACTAAACGAAATCGCGCGAAAAAAGGCTTTTAATCTGCATGCCTCTTATATGCGTGTTACCATTCGTTCGGATTTATCCGGACATGTTCGGACTTTTGTACTTTTGCCCGGATTTTGTCCGGTGTCACATTTACCCGCCTTTTTAGCTTACTATTTTCGTAATAAAGAATTTATTATTATAACAAACTATGTCAATGTTATTTGCTAAAAAGATGACAAAGAAAGCATTAGAACTTTATGGGTTTACACCGGGTCGGCGGGGCATGTGAGGCTCTAGTCAGTATATTTATCGAACCCTTGCTTTGTGAAATGAAATGAAATGAAAAGTCATTTATTCAGTCTAGGCTGTTACAAGCACTTGTGAAGGTCAGAAGCTACGCCATCGGTTCGCAAAACTACGGCGGGGGACCTTGTACTGAGAAGAACCGGCAAGAAACTCAGCAAGGGCTGCTTTTTTCTCCCTGTATTGTTATATGCAGAGTCGTCAACTTGAAAAATGACTTCAGAGATACTTCTGAAGTCACCTTCCATTACATTATGGGAAACTATACGCGGATATGTAATGAAACGAATAAAAATTCGGTAAAATAGTCTATTAAAGTTTCACAGTTTCCCACATACACAAGCAGAACAGATAGTAAAATTAATAATAGCAAATAGCATTTAGGATATAGATATATACAGTTACAATAATAATTTTATATTTAGTATATGTGGTCTGCGGGTTTGTGTTTTAAACTTACCTCAACTCGGAAGACTTTAAACTGCGGAGTAGCGAGTCCTGCGAAATGGCTGCGCGCCGCCGCCCCGTCCGCCAGCACCGCGCGCCGCGCCCCCGCGCCCCTCCCCGCCCCCGACCCCGCGCCTACTGCTGACACTACCCATGCGGCGGGCACGCCTGGCCCGAGGCACTCCTGTGGATTATCACCAGTATTATTATTATTCTATGAACTTTTTTCTTTCTTCAGAAAACTTAAAAATACATGGTATCTAATTTGGTTAACTACTAGTCAATAACAAGTTTTCACTTAATAAAAAAATATAGCTAATAAATTTCTGTAAGTATACAAGACAAACTTCAAAAAATATGGAGAAACAGGAACATCACAAAAGCCACGAAAACACGACTCGTCAGGGCATTAGTGTTTCTCATATTCCTCTATGGTGCGAAAAAGAGAGAGAAAAAGAAGATAGACGCTCTAGAAATGTGGTGCTGGAAGAAAATGCTTGGCATACAGTGGACACAATTCCGAACCAATGCATCCTGGAGGATTCCAGGAACTGTCCATCAAACAACGTCTGCCTTCCATCGTACAAGGTCGTATTCTAACTATCTTTGGCCACATCTCACGCCGAGAAGATGCGTTAGTGGAACGACTGGTAGTGCAGGGCAAAGTCGAAGGCTTAAGGCCGCGCGGCAGATCACCAATGCGCTGGACTGACCAGATAAAGCGGCACTGAACGGTCCACTTCACGAGTGCATGAGAAAGGCCGCAGTGCGGGACGAATGGCGGCGTATTGTGAAGCGCGCCACCAACCCTAATGTGACGACCACGACCACTCTGTCAAGAGTGTAGCGCCGAAGAAGCATACAATGTAATGGCAAAAATATATACAGACGTAAACGAACCTTACGAAAACACTTACAGAGCGCCGCTCGTGGGAATCCACACTGATGCCTAGTGCAAAATTTTTTGGTTTAGTAATTTGTAAATAGTTCAGTAACCAGTGCTCGCCTCAACGTCTGTGGACATCATTGAACATAGAAAGTTTCCGTGGCACAAACGGCTCCTTTTACAGTCTACCATTCGCGTGCTCGTAACCTTATTTCATTTAAATAATACTGTTCTGCTCACGGCCTTACTTTATGGAGAAAATAGAATTTGGCTACCCATACGACTACTCCCCTGCGACTCCTCTCAACTTCGTTCAGATTCTGGACAGCTATATCTTAGTTTTTCCTCCTACCATTATCACCTAGACGTATGAGAGTTATCGTTGTTTATTTTTGTAATAGGCTGTAAGGTTGTAAAATTCTCTTGGCTTCCTGTAATAAAAAGTCCTTTTTACCCGATCCCACACGCAAGCAGTGCGAAGCGCAGTCAGGGTATTGTGTTTTTCTAAACATGATCTTGTTAAATGAAACACGCTTAAACACGGTTTTTTTTTACTTTTTTTAATATCTTATTGTTGAGGCAACCAGCAACGATTGCTGATTGTTGGCACAGGTAAAATTATGCTTAAGGTTACGATACTCTCTAAGCCTCCTAAGTGGTACGAAATCACCGGGTCAGCCACATAGTTACAATTAACATTTTAAAAGCCCTAATAGTCCAGGAAATGTAGCGTTTTGGGTCGCAATTTTTTCGTCCTGCATGGATTTACTTGAAATTTTGACAGAAGATTGGGAATAGCTCTAGAATAAAAATTTATATCATGCCGAGGGGCGCTTTTATCAGGGGGTGGTTGCCCCATCTCGGGGGTGGACTTTTTATTACTTTTAAACTACAGAAATCGATTAAAAAGGTAATTCTAAGTAAAAGATGTTCTATACATATTTTTCCTTAAACTAATATTTTTCGAGTAATTTGCCATTGAATTAAAAAAATGGTAGCTTATCCAAAAAAAAAAAACAGTGAACACAACCCTCTTATTACCCTCCTTATTCAATTTGATCTGTGCCCTTTCGCGATTCTCTTTACATATGTATTATAGTTTGACCAATTTAACCACACACTTCTAGATGGATTTAATACAGTTTCAAAGAGTAAATCCCCCTAACTCATGACTCACCTGCACGTAGTACGAGTAGTTCTTGCTGAACATAATCCTGTTAAAGAGGCACTCGGTGGGCAGTGAGTCATTCTCGTCGGATACGTGGGGCAACACCGTCGACGTCGGCCACCAAGGCAGCGAGGATGTTGAGTTCTCGAACTCCTGAGAAATAGAAATATAGGTAGACATAAAAAAATGCTCATGGCAAAGTCTTTCCGCTATCTTAGATTCATACATGTACACCGGGTTTTCGGACATGGAACTACTTTTAAATAGTGATTAATCTGATCGTGATAGGTGAGGGGAAGTCTACGTTTGTATTTAAATCCTTTCACTTTCTCGTTATAGTTATGTTTGTTTTGTCATTCTCCCTATATTATATCTGAAACATCGAAGCATAATCACATCTTTTGTGATGCGTTATGGGTTTACAGAGCATCAAAGGTAGCTTGACAATGTAAACGCTATATTAAGCACATAGATTTTGTCAGGAAAATATGACGACGATGCACTCACCGTTGGTCTTACCAGCGGAGCACGTGAGGCAGGGCACCAAATACTCTGTCTTGTCTATGGTGCCTGCCACCAGATAGTGTCTATTGAGCACACCTACCGTTGGGTCTGTGGGTTTATCATACTGGCGAAGCCAGATGAGGATGGCGTGGCAGATGAGGCTAGCGACGGAGGGAGGCAAGGACTGAGCGACAACGTGTACAAATCTTTATGGTCAATACCTATATGTAATATGAGCCAACACATATGATCGCTTTGTCTTTTCATACCAACGATTTGGAAATGATATGAAATACGAATTGCACTAAAAAGTGGTTCCACGTAAATTGCGATCAAGTGGGCGGAGCGAAAAAACTGGGATCAATACGCCGATCATGGGATTTGTTGGGATTTGCGTTTAACATTATCTTACCTTATGAAAGTAGAGCCGAATTCACTTGCAGATTTTTTTTATTTTTATAGATAGGTCCGACAAATGACTCCACCCCACCTGATGTTAAGTGAAGGTGAAGTCCAGACGCGAAGATAGCTGATACAGCAGTTCTACCAGCCACATCAGCCATCCTCACCCTGCCGGCCTGCATGTTGCTTCTTCACGCTTCTTTTAAAGGATCCCAGGTTGTAAGAGGGAGGGAACACGTGAGCGGGCAGAGCATTCCATTTACGGATAGTGCGACAAAGAAATGATTCACCAAATTTCTTTGTACGCGTTGGAATTGTGGCCACAATAAAACGGTGACAACGTAGGCCAGCGCGCGTGGTCCTCTGAAGGAAAGGGGAAGGTGGGATAAGAGAGAATAACTCCTCAGAACACTCGCCGTGGTACAAACGATAGAACGCGCTTAGTGACGCCACGTCACGGCGTAATTGAAGAGACTCAAGGTGTTTAGTCACCTCCTCATCGCCTATGATGCGGATCGCGCGCCGCTGTAACCTATCCAAAGCATCGAGCAAGTACTTGGCGGAGCCATCCCAGAGGTGCGAGCAATATTCCACGCAGGACCGCCGTTGCGTTTTGTACAACAAGCACAGTTGATCGGGCGTGAAAAAACGCCGCACCTTGTTCAGGACTCCGAGTTTGCGTGAAGCTGTTTTGATCACGGTTTCGATGTACTCCTTTGGATTCAGGTCTGAGCGAACTTCCATACCGAGCATGGAAATGTTGCTCTGCACGGTAGTGTTGTGCCCTGAAGAGATGGAAGGGGAAGGGGAACTTTAGTAGCCACTTCTAGCTTCTCGTGGCGGCGTTGCGTGTGTGGCTGTGGCGTGTGGCCCGTGTGCGGCGACACTTAAGGTCATCTGCGACTAATAGTATACACACACACAAAAAAAGAACCCTTACTGTGGGATCAGCGGTTTCTTGTAGAGGGGTGCATCGCCGGAGTCGGTTCCACCGGCGGGGCAGGTGAGGCAGGCGGGGTCGGCGGGCACTCATAGGCGAGTCGGCGGGGTCTACACCGGCGGACTCGGCGGGGCATGTGATTCACTAGTCAGTTTGTTTATCGAACCCTTACTGGTCTACACACGACACGCTATACCAGGGACAGGTAAATACCTGTGCGTTTTCCCCGCCCTCGACGACAAACGCTAACTAGAGCCGAGGTCCGAGTTCCAGAGAAACCCTCTAATTGAGCCAACCTCTTCAGGTTCGAGTGATCTAGAGGCTCCAGACGCTCCAGACCTACTAGAGAGGAGACTCCCCCCGTGGGGAGATGCCATCCGCCGACAATAGGGGTGATGACGGGGCACAGTAAACGAAATTCTATTTAGTAAGTCAGTTAGATGATCAAAAAATAATGGACACGTATTTTTTCTTTGGGCAATCAACCCAAAAATGACAAAGTTATAGCGCGTCAAAGTTTGGGGGTAGGGGCTCGTGACGTCACTTTTGAGTGAATTTTCACTTATAGTGTGTACTCAAACGTGACGTCTTTTCGTGACGTCTGGCGACTTTTCAAATCAATATATCTCTGCAATGTTTATATTATGTGAAAAAAGAAAAAATACGCGTCCAATAACTTTTGATAATCTACCTGATAAACGAAGAAGAAAAAAATAGTCATCTTCCCTATTCTCGGCTCGAGGTCCCCTTAGGATCTCGCCGTCCCCAAACCCGGTGACGCTGTAAAGGTCATCTGCAACCAATAGCATATACACTGAAAAAAGGACCCTTACTGTGGGGTCTGCGGTTTCTTGTAGAGGTGGTGCGTCGCCGGAGTCGGTGGCGCCGGCGGGGCAGGTGAGGCAGGCGGCGGGCGGCGGCCAGGCGGCGGGGTCGGCGGGCACGCGCACGCGGTACAGGTGCCGCTCGCCCGCGCGGTCCGGCGCCGTGCCCATCACGTAACTACCACATGCGAACGATACGAACATTATTTTCACATTAAACGGGAAGGGGCGTTAATTCTGCAACACAGTTTTGTAAAACTACAGCAGACTCAACGTTGCATGATTGTATTTACAATGAACTTGTTTCAAATGAAGTTATTATTATTACATAGCGTTATTATTACTACAATAAGTAAAGGATGGAAAGAGCTATGCTGGGGATATCGCTAAGGGATCGGATCCGGAACGAAGTAATTCGCCAGAGAATTAAAGTAACCGATACAGCTGAACGAGTAAATAAGCTAAAGTGGCAGTAGGCTGGTCATAAATAATGGATGACTGTAGAGGTAGACGAGTCCTGGAATGGAGACCGCGAATCGGCAAATGTCACACTCGGACGTCCCGCGACTAGATGGATCCGGCAACATCCTAAAAGCAGCGGGCAATGACTGTTTGAAGAGAACTGAAGACTGAACTCAATGGCATGCTATGGGAGAGGTCTATGTCTGGATATAGACTGCTGGCAGTGGACTGATGCAGGGCTGATGATGATGGTGCAGTAAAGGACATAAATTTAACCTTAGGGTTTCATTAAATTTGGCGACTGAATGCAATGCGGGCAATAGGGTATTTGACAGTGTTAAAAATAAAGTGTCAATTGTAAGCATCTGTGTTTAGAATGAATATTGGCAAGGGTTTTTACTATTTTTACAAAAAAAATATTCATAATTTTACTAAAAACTAACGAGAAAGATAATAGTTTTCTTATCTATTGTCACGTGACCCAAAACGCTTGGATTGGCGGAGCTTAGAATGACGTCACACGCAAGTAAACTTCCGGTTAAAGTGACATTACATTGTATCGTTTGATGTTTTAACAACAGTCGTGTGACGTCACATACTAGTAAGACGCCATATTGTCCAGAGAAACGTTTTTGCGGCAACCTGAAAATGGAGTTTTTGATTTGGTTATTTTTACTGAAATACACAACAGAATGATGAATATCTACTTTTTACGGACTCCATAAACATTAGTCAATAAATTGAGATCGTTTTCTAAAATTTGTCAAATACCCTATTACCAGACTTTCGTATTGCCAAACTAGAAGCGTGTATGACGTATCTATAAATATAAAATATCATAGACCCGCGAGTATATCGACAGTGGAAAAGCAAAATATTGATAATACACCGAAGGGTGCTGCTTAAAAAATTACTTAATTTCACTATTATTTAATGTTAATTGTTAAGCAGCACCAAAGTGGCGTATTAGCAATTTCGCTTTTCCCCTGTCGATATGTATATTGCTCACAGCAGCGTGCGGCGCGCGTCCCACGCGAGCAGCGCGGTGACCTCGTAGGCGCCGTGCGTGAGTGTGGCGCGCGAGTCCGCGGTGAGGCGCGCCGCGTGCCGCCACGTGCCCGCCCCGCCCGCCTCCACGCTAGGTAGCGCATTATATATGTATATTGCTCACAGCAGCGTGCGGCGCGCGTCCCACGCGAGCAGCGCGGTGACCTCGTAGGCGCCGTGCGTGAGTGTGGCGCGCGAGTCCGCGGTGAGGCGCGCCGCGTGCCGCCACGTGCCCGCCCCGCCCGCCTCCACGCTAGGTAGCGCATTATATATGTATATTGCTCACAGCAGCGTGCGGCGCGCGTCCCACGCGAGCAGCGCGGTGACCTCGTAGGCGCCGTGCGTGAGTGTGGCGCGCGAGTCCGCGGTGAGGCGCGCCGCGTGCCGCCACGTGCCCGCCCCGCCCGCCTCCACGCTAGGTAGCGCATTATATATGTATATTGCTCACAGCAGCGTGCGGCGCGCGTCCCACGCGAGCAGCGCGGTGACCTCGTAGGCGCCGTGCGTGAGTGTGGCGCGCGAGTCCGCGGTGAGGCGCGCCGCGTGCCGCCACGTGCCCGCCCCGCCCGCCTCCACGCTAGGTAGCGATGTGAACACGCCCTCCCTGCACATAGAAACGAACTATAATAATAATCAACATCAGCCTATAAATGGTGGGTGCTAACGACTGCAGATGTAGCCGGGATCAACGGCTTAACGTGCCTTCCGAAGCACAGAGGAGCTCAAGATAATAAATTTTTGGTCACCCATCCAATGATCGACCAATGCGAAAGTTGCTTAACTTCAACGATAGCAGCAGAACGCGCTCACCACTGGCGCCATCGAGCTCCTCGATAAACATTATATAATAATAATAATATAATGTTTTATTACTCTTCACAACTAACATATTAAGGGACGCTATATAAGGTGGGAATAATCTTACATAAGATGTGAGAGTCTGATGCCTAAAATTCACCAGGCCCCGCTCATCTAATCCGAACGTTTAGTAATATAGTTTAAATTTGAAAATAATATTCTTAATGCTACTATTTATTAATAAAATGAACGGCTACAAATCGAAACCATTCCTCACCTCGTCGGGAGTCCCTCAGGGTTCGATCTTGGGACCAATTCTGTTTCTCGTTTTCATTAACGATATCCCTAATAAAATCCGGTATAGCAGCTGCTCTCTTTTTGCCGACGATTTAAAGTTGTATCGACCGATTAAAAACGAGGAAGATATACTTTTACTCCAAAAAGATCTAGACTCGGTATCGGAATGGTGCGTAGATAACGGTATGACTCTTAACGCAAGTAAATGTCTATTTATAAAATTTACCAGGAAGACAAAAAACATGAATGCTTCTATCTATACTATCAATTCTGCACAGCTAACCGAAGTGGGTTCGACTCGTGATCTGGGCATTGTAATTGACAAAAAGCTCGGATTCATTGAACATATTAACGTTATTGTTGCAAAGGCATTAAAAATGTTGGGTTTCTTGAAACGCCTATCTAAGAATTTCCATAACACCGCAACAATTTTATGCTTGTATAAGAGTTTGGTGCAAAGTATACTAGAATACAGTTCCCAAGTCTGGAATCCGCAATATCGAGTCCACATTGATAGAATCGAGCGAATTCAACGTAATTTTACGAGGTTTCTTGCTTTCAAAGACAGGAAGTGTCCTTACCGTGCGGATTACCACACTCGTCTCAAATACTTTAAACTTCATACCTTAGAAAAGCGTAGAAAAACCGCGGACATTTTATTTCTGCACAAATTATTTCACGGCAATATTGTTGCGCACGACCTTCTTGCGGAAATTAAGTTAAAGGTTCCCAGAAAAATCCCCCGCCAACCCATCAAATCATTCGTTAACTGTCCCTTTAAAACAAAATTAGCTTCACCGTTTAACAGAATTAAAGATGCATACAACGAGATATGCCATGATGTTGACATCTTTCATGCTCCACTCAAAGCCCTCAAAAATCATCTGTATGGTAACGTTCAAACCGAACAATATTTTTTTTCTGTTAAAAGTATAAGTACCTACCTACATATAGTCAATGTTGTACATGCCTACAATGGCAATTCACACGGTTGAGTACTACCTACATCTTAAATCTTTATTGAAATTTGTGAAATTGTCGATGGTATGTCAAATAAATAAATAAATAAATAAATAAAAAAAAATTATAAAAAGATAAGAAATAAAACTGTACTTATAACATACAATAAAAAAATCTTAAACATATATGGGTGGGAGTGATGAGTGTGTGTGTGTGTGTGTGTGTGTGTTTGGGCGTGTGTGTGTTTCTGTGTGTGTGTGTGTGTGCGGTTAAAGCATGAATTCTAAATGAATGTAAACATTGTTTTTGTATTTTTTAAGTATTATTATTTATATTGTGACATAATTGCTTTAGTTGTGTCGAAGTCCAATGCTTTGAGCCAAGTTGGCACAGATTCTTTAAGGTTATGCTTACACATATGGTAATATTTATGGGTTAATTAATCTTATTGTACAAATATGGACCTACTATCGATGCCAAAGAATAGAAGTGGAATACTCTTGAATCGGAATGTTTATAGGCTTGATTGTATACGCGCCGCGATCTGATCGCGGCGCTCGGCGGAGGAGGCCTCACGCTGCCAAGTATGGTAAGAGCCATGCTTGGTAGCGAGAGAGCCTGGAGGGCGGCCGCCTCCTTCTGCGAATCGGTGATGGCGCAGAAGGAGGCAGCGGAGAGGGAGCGGGAGGAGGACGCTCTAGCCACTCCCCTCCGACGTAGACGGGTGGGCCGAAGGAGGCAGGCAGCGGTGACTGCCGGTCTTCGACGGCCCTAAGGTGGTCTGGGCGCGGCCTGACCAGCCGCGCGTCCTAGGTGCCGCTCCGGCATAGGCCACCACGTCTGGGGACGGCCTAGTACCCTAGCGCAGTCCCCCTGAGGCGCGTCGCCCGGTCCACTCGTTGGGCCGGGCCGGCCCGGAGACGTCCCAGTGAAGTGGCGCACGCTAAGGTGCGTCGATCCTGAGACGCCCCCATATGGGCGTAGGAGGGTACCGGGGGGTTTTAGTGGAGTAGGATCAGTGTGGCCTTCCGCACTGGTCCTGCTTGAGTAGGGTCGGCACTGTTTCCCGTGCCGGCGAGTCCCACACACGCCGTGCGCCTAGTCAGCGTCACGGTATGGTGCGTAACTGCATTTCCCCTCGTCACAAAAAAAAAGGCTTGATTGTATACACGCCTAGATACCGTATTAATGGAACCGGCACAAAAAAATACTGCCATATAGTATGTCATCAACACCCTGCGTGTTCAATACAATAACGCGTTCAGGATGCTGCGAGTTTGCGAGTGCGAAATGTCATTTGCAAATGTGTTTGCACTGATTTTTAGTTCTCGTTACGTCCGTTATGGCGCTGCTGTTCAAGTTTCCATACAAAATTTGACAATGACATTTCGGACTCGCAATCTATTTGAATTCGATATTGGTTCGTGCTAAGGGTACAGCACAGGATACAAAAGTTGTATATTGTAGTCATGAGGATTAAATACAGAGGCTACATAGTGTTTTAGCGTTTCTGTAAATTAAATACTAAATTGACATTACACTTCAATTATATTAAGCACTTTTCATTGTGCAAAGATTCAATAAAAAAAACCGGATGAAAGTCCATGCCATGTCCTGATAAATACAGACGCATGGTAAGCCTACTCAGGGTCTAGGAACACAATACACAGAGACTTCCTTCGAACTAAAAGAAAGAAAGAAAGAAACTTCTTATAGAATAGCACTACTGATTGTGATTTAAAAACTCGAATTCAGCATACGATTATGTTATTTCCAATCCATAATTCCAGCGATGTTATGAATGAAAAATAAAATATCTATTTTCCGTATTTTCTCTTTACAATATGAAGGATCAGTTTTAGTAAAATATTTTACCGTTTAGTATGTTGAAACATTGCTATTTATCAGTGTACTTTATTTATATCGTATCGTGTAGTGTAGTATCTTGGATTTCGGTTTTGACAAAAGGAATAAGTACTTCTTTCTTGCTGCTGAACCAGCTCGACGTTATCAAACTCAGTTTCAGTGTGTAGTGTATTGTATTCTAGTGTAGTGCAGTTGTGTAGTGTAGTGTAGTGTGCAGTAGTGTAGTGTATCACGGCACCTGCTAGCCAGTAGCGCGGCGCCGCCACACCAGCCGCAGTCTTCGTCCTCAGGCTCGGCCCCTAGTCCGGACCAACGCGTGCCGTCTGTTTCATCGCGGTAGATCTGGAATATACAATATGTTATTTAAAGATAGTGACACGAAAAACTCTATTGAAGTCCATGACATATTGTAAAAGTGTTATTGATAGTCCATTCATCAAAGAAGGCACACACAGGTATATACATCTATATATCTTTATATATATAATTCTTCTGTGAGTGTGTATGTCACTGAACTTCTCTTAAACGACTGGACCGATTTTGATGAAATTTTTTGTGTGTGTTCAAGGGGATCTGAGAATGGTTTAGATTCACAATTTTGTCCGCTGGACAACCCCTATTTTTTTAGGGCGGTACGAAGTTCGCTGGGTCAGCTAGTGTGTATATAAAATTCAAAGGTGACTGACTCACTGATTGACATAGTGATCTATCAACGCACATCCCAAATCACTGGACGGATCGGGCTGAAATTTGGCATGCAGGTAGATGTTATGACGTAAGCATCCGCTAAGAAAAGATTTTGATCAATTCTACCCCGAAGCGAAGCGAGGGCGGGCCACTAGTTTACACATAAAGCTACTCCCAATAGGTGGAGAAACAAAGATGAGCATCCATGAAAAAAAAATGTAGGGGATAAGACAATCAGGGACAACGGGCAACGGACAACGGGCAACGGACAACGGATAACGGACAATGGACAAAGGGCAAGAGATAAAGGGAAGGGGGATATGGGACAGAGCATGAAGGATGTGCAGTAAGAGATGGGGGATGGGTGATAGGGTACACGAGATAGAGGATAGACAGGGGATAGGGAACTGAGCAAGTATAGGCGTACTCACATCCTGGCAGTTGTAGTGCACGGCGCTGCAGACGCTAATGATGGAGTAGTTCTGGGGCCGGTTGAGCAGCAGCACCGCTATCTGCCGCTCCGACATCCATCCGCTCCACCGGACGTACCATGCTGCGTCAGAAATTATCATAAGTTTTATATTTTGGCACCAAGTGTCTGTCATATCTCCACGTCACGATGTCGTCAACGTGAGAACGGTGCGGTAACGTTTCACGGTGCCTTGGCATAACGTACAAGTCTGGTCATAAATTTGCACGACATTTCACGTTCTGTTTAAATTTACCGCACTTGTCAACCTTGACGACGTCGTGACGTGGAGATGTGGACAGACATTAAGTCCTTTCTACATAAATGAAGCATAAAATTTGACTACTTATAGATTATTTTTTAATATCTCGAGCTCTTCCGTGCTTCGGAGGCATGTTAAGCCCTTGTTTCCAGCTTCACCTGCAGTCGCTAGCACTATTAGAGAGCTTCAGATTGTTCACTATTCTCACAGCCCTTGCTGAGTTTCTTGCCGGTTCTTCTCAGTACAAGGTCTCCCGCCGTAGTTTTGCGAACCGATGGCGTAGCTTCTTGACCTTCACAAGTGCTTGTAACAGCCTAGACTGAATAAATGACTTTTCATTTCATTTCATTTCATTTCACAGTAGGTACATCTTTGTACCGCGTCAGGATATTCTGACTGGTACTAGTATTCTTTGCTTACCTAATTTAGGGGCTTCGATCAATAAAAAATGATGTTTAATGTGCTTTCATCTGATATCTGCATATTGTGAATGATATCAAAAATCTAAATCAATATTAATTTATTCAGTTTAGGCTTTTACAAGCACATGTAAAAGTCGAAAGCTACGCCATCGGTTCGCAAATCTAAGGCGGGAGACCTTGTACTGAGAAGAACCGGCAAGAAACCCAACAAGGGCTGATTCTTTCTCCCTGTATTATTTCATACAGTGTCGTCTAATTGAAAGCTGACATCCAACTTATAAACATGTATTGAGGTCAACTTGCATCACATAATGTAAAATACCTAACAATAAATCCGACCAAAAACATTCTGTAAAAAACTAGCCAAGTCTCGATAGAGCTGATTGTTTATCTCTAAAAAGTAATGTGATCTAGACAAAGTCGTGCCAAGTCTAAGATTCCTTACTGCGATTTCTTTATTATTATAGTTAATGTTGTGTGATTTGGCCGTTGAAGGGTACACAAGGGTACAAAACCAGGTGCTACATGACACCGTTGCACCAATCTGTCGCCAGAACCGCTACCCATTGACGATGGAAAATTGCCACTTGGAAAACGTTGATTGAATAACCGGTCAAATGTAGGCTTGATAAAGTTGCGTTTACACGTAATGTTGCATGTATGAATGCATCAGTGCAATGGTGTCATGTAGCACCTGGTTTTGTACCCTTGTGTACCCTTCAACGGCCAAGTTACACAACATTAACTATGATAATAAAGAAACCAAACTAGGTTCCAGTAAAGGATGGTACGGCAGTGTTTGCTTCGCGCTCGACTTGGCGGGGGCACTGCCGTGCCCCCCGATATAGAAAGCCCTGAAATATCCAGTGAATAAATTTCAAAATACATGAGCATGTTTAAAAAAGACACTAAGTTCTCGGTTCTCTTCGAGGCTCTTTTGCACTAATGTGTACCACGAAAGCGGTATGGCTATGTTACTCATTATCCATGGGTGACCACTTAAAAGGCGGTCCGTCTATGCTCTTCTGCTTTCGATAACAATAAAAAAAGACATGGCTGAGCTTACATTTGTCCACCTGCGAAGTGAACTGTATCGCGTGCGGGAACAAAAAGACATGGCTGAACTTACATTTGTCCACCTGCGAAGTGAACTGTATCGCGTGCGGGAACAAAAAGACTTGGCTGAACTTACATTTGTCCACCTGTGAAGGGAACTGTATCGCGTGCGGGAACAAAAAGACATGGCTGAACTTACATTAATGTCCACCTGCGAAGTGAACTGTATCGCGTGCGGGAACAAAAAGACATGGCTGAACTTACATTTGTCCACCTGCGAAGTGAACTGTATCGCGTGCGGGAACAAAAAGACATGGCTGAACTTACATTAATGTGCACCTGCGAAGTGAACTGTATCGCGTGCGGGAACAAAAAGACATGGCTGAACTTACATTTGTCCACCTGCGAAGTGAACTGTATCGCGTGCGGGAACAAAAAGACTTGGCTGAACTTACATTTGTCCACCTGTGAAGTGAACTGTATCGCGTGCGGGAACAAAAAGACATGGCTGAACTTACATTAATGTCCACCTGCGAAGTGAACTGTATCGCGTGCGGGAATAAAAAGACATGGCTGAACTTACATTTGTCCACCTGCGAAGTGAACTGTATCGCGTGCGGGAACAAAAAGACTTGGCTGAACTTACATTTGTCCACCTGCGAAGTGAACTGTACCGCGTGCGGGAACAAAAAGACATAGCTGAACTTACATTAATGTCCACCTGCGAAGTGAACTGTATCGCGTGCGGGAACAAAAAGACATGGCTGAACTTACATTAATGTGCACCTGCGAAGTGAACTGTATCGCGTGCGGGAACAAAAAGACATGGCTGAACTTACATTTGTCCACCTGCGAAGTGAACTGTATCGCGTGCGGGAACAAAAAGACATGGCTGAACTTACATTTGTCCACCTGCGAAGTGAACTGTATCGCGTGCGGGAACAAAAACTTAGGCGTCTTCAGGCTAACCACGTACACTGTCACGACTGGATTGTTCGTGTTCACCTGGAAAAAAAACATGTTTTCCCTTTAATTCACTACACAATCTGTGTTAAAAGAAATCTACCCACATATAACTAACATAGAGGAAACAATTTTACGCCTCCTCAAGAGATGGCACTACCGGCGCTGCGTTCACAGCGTAAGGAAGCCTACATCGCGCAAGTAAAATTCGGTAGCCAACAGTTCATATATTAGACGACCAACATCAGTCGGGCCGCAGCCCCCGAGCTACCAACACCCAGCTCGGAGGAAGATCTTCCCCTTTGGCCTTCCTACACAGATTCTGTCGTAAACCTCTAAATGCACCAGCGCAGTAATCCTGTGATATCGCACAAGTTAGTTTCCATAGTCTTTTATATTACTTTAGAAAATAAGTCATCATCATTATCAGCCTATTAATGTCCCCACTGCTGGGGCACAGGCCTTCCCTATGGATGGATTAGGGAGATTGGGCCATGACCCACCACGCGGGCCCAGTGCGGGACCAACGGCTTAACGTGCCTTCCGAAGCATTGAGGAACTCGAGCTAGTAAATTTTTGGTCACCCATCCAATGACCGACCACTGCGAAAGTTGCTCAACTTCAACGACCGCAGCCGAACGCGCTAACCACTGGCGCCATCGAGCTCCTCACTAGAAAATAAGTACACAAGACGTTATTTTAAGATTTAACTATGCTCTTAGTGATCAAGGGATACACTGGTTGTCTGATATCTCATCTCCCGTCACTAGGAGCCAAAGATACATATTTATAGTTGTACTAGCTGACCCAGCGAACTTCGTACCGCCATAAAAAAATAGGGGTTGGTGGTAGAAGGGTGAAAATTTAGGGTTGTATGTATTTTCGAATGATGTATCATAAAAAAATTAAAAAAAAAATGTATAATTAAAAAAAAAATTGGGGTGGATGAAAAATAGACGTTGTCCGATTCTCAGACCTACTGAATATGCATATAAAATTTCACGAAAATCGGTCGAGCCGTTTCGGAGGAGTTTAACCACAAACACCGCGACACGAGAATTTTATATATCAGATTTTATTATCACCAGGTAGCAGACGGGACTCGAACCCGCACCCTTCGCAAACCAGGCGAATGCACTGACCAATTATGCTACCGCGGGCCTCAAGGACCGCGTCGAAATTCTTCTAGCCATTCTTAAGCGCCAGGCAGCGCCATCTCTTCGCATTATAGGTAAGCCACGATGTCAAATGAATACTTTTACAAGTATTAAACATTTGAAAGAAGAAATAGCAATTATAGTTATATTTTTTATTATTTTAAAACATGTAACTGCTTCATGTTTAAATCTAAAGAAAATATAACTAGAAAACATTCCACGCGGACCAGGCAGCAGACGGGACTCGAAAAAATACATATTTATCTTATGACTTCACGTCGTTACAAAATTTGCAAAAGCTATTGAAGCAATTATTGGTGCTAAAACTAAATGTCCTAGCAATTGCTTACCTTGGGATACCTCAGGCTGCGTATGGACGGATACGCAGGTGGTTCTGGCTGGTCCAGCCCGTACCAGGGGTATTTGTGCTGTTGAACCTGGCTGTCGTTGTAGGTGACGTACATGAGCGTCTGTCCATCTGGACTGAACCATAGGGCTCTGTCCAGCCGGAGGACTTCGGTTTCATACAGAAAGTCGGGTACCCCATTGAAGATTACACCTGGGATTCCTGAAAGAGCAAATATGTGTATGAGACTACCAAGCAATTACTTCTCTATCCTGTATTCGTTCAGCTTTGCACTATTTCTATTGCGGCGTTTTAAAAATAATCAAAATGATTTAAACATTTAACACAACACAAAAGGCTTAAAAGAAAATTGTGTGTGTCAGCTCCGACGCACGACCGGAGTTTACACTCTAAAAACGATTGTCTTTGAACAGACACAAAACCAAATCAAGTCCGAAGAAGTCGGTTACAAGTAGAGATAGCCCATGGTTACGACTATCATAGGTTCCATGTCACACATTTTATCATCTAACATCAGCGATATTCATCATATATTTTATTATGTATTTCTCGAAACACACAATTTCAAAAATATCACACACTAGTCATCATTTTGTAAATATGTATTATAATTCCATCTGTACTGAAAATCACTATTCCAGAGTGCTGGACACTTACTTCTGTTATTTATTTGTTTTCATTAATTTTGCTCCGATTTTAACTATTTTTAGTTTATTTATTTTATTGACATTTGTGACAACTTAATGTTTTTTATCCGTTGCCATGGCTTAAAGTGAAAGGTGCGCAGATAAGGTAGCGCACAAAAACGTAACGAGGTCATTAATGTCATTCATCGATAGATTTTACTCCTCACATTTTTCTCATACCGGGCGCCTTATATATGCAAATCGATTCTTAAGGAGTAAACTCCAATAAAAACATAAGAATCAAAATGCCGGATTTATAATAAATAAATATTTCTAACACTCACACCAATTAGGCTAGCCCCAAAGTAAGCACTATAAGAAGGCTTGTGTTATGGGATACTAGGGTAACGGATAGAATACATACATATACTGTACATATATAAGTATATTTTTTTAGAATTACATATTAAACATCCATGACTGGAGTACAAATCTTCGTATTCATCACACAACATCATCACATCTACCCCACCGGGATTCGAACCCGGGACCTCTCAAGTCGGCAACACCATGAAACCCGGCGTACAAACCACTCGGCCACGGAGATCGTTAATGCATAGAATCAACTAACACCAAACACGGCACCTCAAGCTAGTCTGTCTGATGAGTTTTCATAACTTCGGCGCTTAGTAAAACTATCTCTCAACTCTAAGAGCGATCAATTAATACGGGTCTTAGCTGTCTTTAAGCAAATAACCTCCTATCAGACATTTTGCACGATCGAATCCTGATTGGTTAAATTTTTCGATTCACAGGGTAGGTTGTCCTTAAGTATTTGCAAAGCATGTTTTTCGGGATTTTACAGAAAAAATCTGAACCTATTTGTGGCTTCTGCTTACATTAGTTGGATAGCTTTTTCCTGGTCATTTCTCAGCGTTACTCTTAATAGAGCACAGCCACTAGCTATTGCTAAACTCAAGACCTTAATCTCATTACTGTAAGAAGTTGTAACCTTTTTATGTTTTTTTTAACCTGTAAAAATGCGTGTCATATACCTCGTCGCTGAGTAAGCGTCTGGGGTATGTGGGACTCCTCCTCCCGCCTCTGGACTGGTTCAGTGGCTGCTCGGGATGGGGGGCCCTACCCACTGAAACTCCGGGATGTGCCTTCCTTGCCAGCGGCGGCGTCGTGGGATCCTTATTGGAAATCGACCACATCGCCACCGACGGAAGTTGTACCTGTGATCGTGATCCTGCAGACGAGGGCCTTTAGTACCCAGGGTTCGTAGTATATGTAGTTGTTTTGTACGATGACCAGGCTGGAGCCGGTGGGTGACCACTCGGCGTATCCTACCTGTGTTTGTGATCCTGCAGACGAGGTTCTGCAACACCCTGGGCTTGTAGTATATGTCGTTGTCGTGCACGAACACCAGGCTGGAGCCGGTGCGCTACCACTAGGCGTATCCTACCTGTGTTTGTGATCCTGCAGGCGAGGGTGTTCAGCATCCTTGGTTTGTATATGTCGTTGTCCTGCACGAACACCAGGCTGGAGCCGGTGGGCGACCACTCGGCGTATCCTACCTGTGTTTGTGATCCTGCAGACGAGGGTTTTCAGCACCCTGGGCTTGTAGTATATGTCATTGTCGTGCACGAACACTAGGCTGGAGCCGGTGGGCGACCACTCGGCGTATCCTACCTGTGTTTGTGATCCTGCAGACGAGGGTCTGCAACACCCTGGGCTTGGTAATATGTCGTTGTCGTGCACGAACACCAGGCTGGAAATGGTGGGCGACCACTCGGCGTATCCTACCTGTGTTTGTGATCCTACAGACGAGGGTCTTCAGCACCCTGGGCTTGTAGTATATGTCGTTGTAGTGCACGAACACCAGGCTGGAGCCGATGGGCGACCACTCGGCGTATCCTACCTGTGTTTGTGATCCTACAGACGAGGGTCTTCAGCACCCTGGGCTTGTAGTATATGTCGTTGTCGTGCACGAACACCAGGCTGGAGCCGATGGGCGACCACTCAGCGTATCCTACCTGTGTTTGTGATCCTGCAGACGGAGGGCTTCAGCACCCTGGGCTTGTAGTATATGTCGTTTTCGTTTACGAACACCAGGCTGGTGCTGGTGCGCGACCACTCGGCTTATCCTACCTGTGTTTGTGATCCTGCAGACGAGGGTCTTCAGCACCCTGGGCTTGTAGTATATGTCGATGTCGTGTACGAACATCAGGCTGGAAATGGTGGGCGACCACTCAGCGTATCCTACCTGTGTTTGTGATCCTGCAGACGAGGGTCTGCAACACCCTGGGCTTGGTAATATGTCGTTGTCGTGCACGAACACCAAGCTGGAAATGGTGGGCGACCACTCAGCGTATCGTACCTGTGTTTGTGATCCTACAGACGAGGGTCTTCAGCACCCTGGGCTTGTAGTATATGTCGTTGTCGTGCACGAACACCAGGCTGGAGCCGGTGGGCGACCACTCGGCGTACTGTAGCAGCGGCGCCGACCGGTCGTCCTCCACCGGTGATATGGGGATTTTGTTCCTGGAAATGGAGTGTGTTCTTTGACTTTCGGAAAGAGTAGAGGTTGTTATGTGAAAATAAAGGAAAATAATAAGGCTATCATTACAAAATAGATGGATCATTCCCCGCAGCATGAACACCACAATTTAAGTTATGATTTTATTTAATTTTTAAGCATTTAACTGCTAGATGTTTAAATCTAAAGAAAAGTTTACTAGAAAAAAATCCACGCGGACCAGGCAGCGGACGGGACTTGAACCCGCATCCTTCGCAATCCGGGCGAATGCACTGACCATTATGCTACCACGGCCCTATTAGCCGCGTCGAAATTTTCCTAGCCTTAAGCTGCAAGGCAGCGCCATCTCTTCGCATTGTAGAATTTAAACAGTAGAACAATTTAAATTATGTGTCGTCGCACACGGGCCACCGATCACAACCACAAAACGCCGCCACCGGCATATTTCCTGTAGTTTTCATACATTTTATATGGACTCGCCACGAAGCGTGTGGCGGCCACTGGCGTTAACCATGTGCGGCTAGTCCATATATAAAGTAAGGAAACTACAGGAAATATGCCGGTGGCGGCATTTTGTGATTGTGGCCGGTGGCCCGAGTGCCGTCAAACTGTATAGTTTGTTACATAGTGATGAGAGAGAGATGATTGAGTGTGAGAATACCGAGCTATATGTATATACAAGTGAATCTGAGGCCAGGCTAGGCCTGATATAATAATACTATAGATATATTTATTTTAAGTAATATATATATATTATATTGTTTCTATAGATATACTTTAATTATAATAAATAATTTGATGAATTCTTTTTGCACTACCTTCTTAGGATCTTAGCTATAATTCTCCGGTTGGCTGGTAGAGAATGCCTAATGGCATTAAGTCCGCCACTTGTAGATTGATTACAGTACACTCATTTGTGAAATAAAGAATAAATAAATAATTAAATATAAAATCGAGACAAAAATTGTATCACTTACCTGTTGATGATGTCATACACGTGGTACCTCGCGAGGCGTGCGTGCCTCCAGCCCGGTCTCACATCAGATATGAGCAGCACAAACTTCATATCCGCGGACACTTTGAAGTCTACGGCATTCAGCTCTCTCTGAGGAACAAGATAAAGGAACATTTAGAAGGAGCTCTAAGACGCAGTAATTAGTTGTGTTTCCACCACCGGACGACCAGGCGCGGCGACAGTGTGACCAGATAAAATTTTACGAAAATACCGAGGCACCTCAAAAAAATACTGAAATATACCGACCGATAAGGCAGATATACCAATAAAAATACTGATTTTCTTAACACGTTTTATTTATTCATACTCACAATAAATGTTACAGTTATATTTTAACATCCTTTTCGAAGGATTAAAATTTACACAACCTCCTTCATTTCTTCACGCTCTATCTAATAGTGCAAACCGCATTAAAATCGGTCCAGCAGTTGTAAAGTTTTAGGCGAACATACATTCTGCAAGTCTGATTAATACTGTGTATTGATTGATAATTGTATATGTAGTATTACAATACTACAACGCCGACAACGGCCGTCATTCTTGTCATATCTGTAACTTACTCATAGATAACATGTATAAGTATAGGTAAACTAAATCCGGGGAAGTCCCCAATGTTCGCGTTTCGGGGAACTCCGCAAACATTGTCGCAAAGACGATCACTCACTACGGTGTTGCCATAACTTCTACCAAAATATACCCAAAAATACTGACTGCCAGCAATATACCTGAAAATACACTGATGTTCGGAAAAATCGATGAAATATACTGAAAAAGTATTAAAATACTGAATCTGGTCACACTGCGCGGCGAGGGCTTCCACCCTTATGTTGTCGAAGTTCCTCCCATTCGCACGAAGCGATTTGCTTCGGCCTTCATTATGCGAACGGCTAGGGAGTGGAACTCCTTGCCGAGGTCTGTTTTCCCGGACCAATATAATCTGGACATCTTCAAGGCTAGAGTGAACAGGCATCTTCTAGGCAGGCGTGTACCATCCTAGGCCTCATCATCACTTTCCATCAGGTGAGATTGTGGTCAAACGCATTACCTATTATGCATAAAAAAATAACAAAAAAGTTGTTTTAGCTTGACATTTTTTCATGTTGATGAGAAAACATCAACTATTTGCAACATCTTTATGTCGTACCAATGCAGGCAAGCGATCTCCTCTGCAGCGTGTCATGAATTTATGCAATAGCACTATAGACATCTTTGCTGTAAATAAATATCAATATAAAAAAGGCTTATAAGCAAAAAATTGTATTGTTAAATATATATGTTTTTTTTTATGTAAGAACTTTTCTCACGCAGTAACTCTCAACAAATATTGGAAGTTACTTGTGGTTAACGGTGTTGGTTTTGCAATGATAAAAACTTGGTGTTATTATATTTTATATAAGATTTATTGTAAAACTGTTTATTGACCTTAAAAATGATGTGGTGTCGTGGGACACCAGGTAGGAACGAAGTTCCTTCGGCTAATATAGAATCGACACATATTGCAAACTCGCTTGTGTATGCGACTGTCGCGCCTGCGCACGTCTCATTTAACGGTTTTATTCCACGCACTTTTTTCCATGGATTTTTTCTTACGGTTTTACTATCACATTTTTTTCAGTTCGGGCGCGCATCAGAATCCCTATCCCCTCCAAGCCTGCCGTAAGGAACTTCGTTGCACATCTCATTTAACGGTTTTATTCCACGCACTTTTTTCCACGGATTTTTTCTTACGGTTTTACTATCACATTTTTTTCAGTTCGGTCGCGCAGCAAAATCCCTATCCCCTCCAAGCCTGCCGTAAGGAACTTCGTTCCAATAAACTAAAAAAAATGTGAAAAGGGTGGAAAACGAGCGTATGGCCCGCGTGATGGTAAGCGGCCATCATAGACTATAGACGCGGTGACTGAGGCGTGTTGTTACGTTCCCTAAAAAATGGTTGAGCGAAGCGATCGCTGGTTCATGCGTCATGCTCGTAAACGGGTGCTGCCAGCGGAGATGAGTCTGCTCTTGCATCATCATCATCATCATCAACAGCCTATCCTAGTCCACTGCTGGACATACGCCTCTCCAATTGCACGCCACTCAGATCGATTTTGGGCTACTCGCATCCAGCTCCTGCCAGCCACCTTGCGCAAATCGTCACTCCACCGTGCCTGAGGACGTCCTACACTACGTTTGCCTAGATGCGGCCTCCACTCCAGAACTTGTCTACCCCAATGGTTATCGGTTCTTCGGCAAATATGGCCAGCCCACTGCCACTTCAGCTTGCTAATCCGGTGGGCTATGTCTATAACTCTGGTTCTCTGTCGGATTACCTCATTTCTGATGCGATCCTTCAGAGAAACGCCGAGCATAGCCCTTTCCATAGCGCGCTGAGCTTGCTCTTTCAACATTTATTTATTTATTTAAACTTTATTCCCATATAACATGAGCAAACGGCGGACTTAATGCCATAGGCATTCTCTACAAGTCAATCAGTATGAATGTTGGAGACAAATAAAAATTACATAAAATGAAAACTAACATAATAACAGCAATAAAATAATAATATTTAAATCTTACATTGGGTACTATTTATCGTTGTATTTAACTTTAATCGTACATTTTTCTATGCCTAAACAGTAGGAGGACACGGCATTCCTTAACATTCCTAAACTGTGTTAAATCAGTATTTTATATTATTTTGCAGTCATAATTATTATATAATTTTCATGTATAATGGAAAGTGACTTTACGAGTTATCTTATATCGAAGTCATTTTTAAATTTGACGACTCTGTTTATAATACAGGAAGAAAAAAAACAGCCTTTGCTGAGTCTCTTGCCGGGCTATTTTTTTTCTCCGTTTTGTTTCATACTGCGTCGTCAATTGAAAGATGACATCAAACTCTAAAAAAATCTCTACATAGAAGGCTCAGGTATGAAAAGTTATTAATCTGCCGCGCTCGAGTAAATCCAAAAATGCCCGCTTGGGCCCCCTACTATTTCGGCATTAATTATGTATGGGTATGCATTACATTAATACCTGGCAAAATGTCGCAATGACTGTTGATGCAAACACTAATAGATTTATAATTGCTTAAAGTATCATCATCATCATCAGCCTATTAATGTCCCCACTGCTGGGGCACAGGCCTTCCCTTTGGATGGAATAGGGAGATTGGGCCATGACCCACCACGCGGGCCCAGTGCGGATTGGTGGGTGCTAACGACTGCAAATGCAGCCGGGACCAACGGCTTAACGTGCCTTCCGAAGCACGGAGGAGCTCGAGATAGTAAATTTTTGGTCACCCATTCAATGACCGACCACTGCGAAAGTTGCTTAACTTCAACGATCGCAGCCGAACGCGGTAGCCACCTGCGCATCGAGCTCCTCCTTAAAGTATTATATGAATTAATTTTAAAGTTATATTTTTTATTAACTAATTTAATTTTTCTATCTATCTTAAATTGTTATCCTATTGTAACTTTATCAAATTTTAAATTAATATTTGTATAGTTATGGTTTTTATTTATTTTTAAGCATTTAACTGCTAGATGTCTAAATCCAAAGAAAAGTTTACTAGAAAAAAATCCACGCGGATCAGGCAGCGGACGGGACTCGAACCCGCACCCTTCGCTATCCGGGCGAATGCACTGACCATTATGCTACCACGGCCCTATTCGCCGCGTCGAAATTTTCCTAGCCTTAAGCTGCAAGGCAGCGCCATCTCTTCGCATTGTAGGTAATCCACAATGTCAAATGAATACTTTTTCAAGTATTAAACATTTGAAAGAAGAAATAGCATTTATAGTTATGTTTTTTATTTATTTAAAAAGGTAAAAGGTAGCATAATGGTCAGTGCATTCGCCCGGATAGCGAAGGGTGCGGGTTCGAGTCCCGTCCGCTGCCTGGTCCGCGTGGATTTTTTTCTAGTAAACTTTTCTTTAGATTTAATATTTGTATACTTTTATTATAATTTGCAATGCTCTCGCAGGGCTCATGTTTGCGAGATGTTATTAGATTTAAGAACTATATGTAACCAACATGAAGCAATAAATATTATGATTATGACTATAGATGTTTGTCAATTGCTTTAAAAACGAATTATGAAAGAAACTGAAAGTGCGATTGCACGCAAGAGAATCACTGTGCAGTACCCTAAAATCGAATTCGAATAGTTTGAGAGTGGGAAATGTCAATGTCAGATTTTGTATGGAAACTTGAACAGCAGCGCCACAAAGTACGTAACGAGAACTAAAAATCAGTACATATTTGACAATGACATTTCGCACTCGAAAACGATACGAATTCGATATTGATTCGTGCTAAGGGTAAGTGTACCCTTAGCACGAATCATTGTTACTGTTAGGCGTTGAGCAGACGACGGGGCGGGGCGGGCATTTTGTCCGCGAAGCAATAAAGACCGCGTCTGCCCGTCGATGTCTGCGGCTGCCCGCGCCGCGTACACAAAGCACACGACGGGCAGAGGCAGTCAGTTTAGGACGTTCGTTCTAGTGAATAGTCCATCACTAAAAAGCGCGTGGCGTGGAGTGAGCTAGCCGCCCCGCGTCGCCGTCTGCGTTACTGCATATAAACTGGTTTGTATGATCCACGGCGGGCAGCCGCGGACATGCCGCGCCGCCACTGCCCGCCGGGCACCCAAGGCGCGGTCTTTTTGCCCTCTGTGTGCGTTTCAAGTATAGGATTCACTTTGTGCTATTATTCGCGGCGAAATTGACCGGCCCGCCCCGCCCCGTCGTCTGCAAAGTGCCTTAAGGTTTTCATACAAAATTTTACATTAGCATTTTGGACTCGCAAACTTAACAATTAATTCGATAAATTCGAAATTGGTTCGTGCCAAGGGTACTGCTTAGAAAAATATCTCTCGTAAAGTTAATTACTGTTGTGCGAAAAAACGTAAGCTATATTTGTTTTCGTGAATTCTCTGGGCTTTAACATTTAAGTCGGACCCTCGGCCCACAGTCCAATGATTCGCCCCAAATTCACGTAATAAAAGGTACACAAAATATACAATTGCTGCCTTTAATTTACGTACAACGCACCGCGCGCACGACTGCGCATGTTGTGCCTATTTATACGTTATTTTCATCACAAATTACTTATTGCATGAGTTAATCTGAAGGCCCTACCTCACAGGGAAATTCCGCTTATAAATAAATAAATATTTCCAACCCTCACACCAATTAGCCTAGCCCCAAAGTAAGCACTATAAGGCTTGTGTTATGGGATACTAGGGTAACGGATAGAATACATATACTGTACATATATAAGAATATTCATATAGAAATACATAATAAACATCCATGACTGGAGTACAAATGCTCGTATTCATCACACAAACATCTGCCCTCACCGGGATTCGAACCCGGGACCTCTCGAGTCGGCGACACCATGAAACCCGGCGTACAAACCACTCGGCCACGGAGGTCGTCTTATAAAGTCCAATGTTCTTTTTTTTGAAGTGAAACTTCTTTGAGTTGGGGTGTAAGCTGGCGAATGCGTTACGCGTTACGAAAAGTGCGTTCGGGCGAGGCGAACGGGAGTTGAGTGGGGGATATATGCAAGAGAAAGCAATGTGAGCGCACATTTTCTTTCTCTCTTTCTCTTATAGCTAGTAAATGAAATATGTATATGTACATGGCGAGTTAAATCCCGTGTGTGTGTTTATTTCTTTAAATAGCGAATACTTGTGCTGTGCCTCAGCAGTCACATTAGAATCCCGACGAATGAATATGATAAAGAAGGATAAGTTTGTGCAGTTGTTTTAATAATGTCTATCAGACAGACGGACAGAGTGTTACAATCATAAATGTAAGATTTGTATGTTTGTTACTCAATCACGGAAAAACTACTAAACGGATTCGGGTGAAATTTTGTACGCATATAGCAGGATTGAGACATAGAATACTTTTTATCCAGGAAAAATGTTAGGTTCCTGTGGAATTCTCTAAAAGCTAAAGTTGATGCGGACGAAGTCGCAGGCGGTTGCTAGTTTTTAAAAAAAATCACAATTCAATATCGTTTATTCAGTCTAGGCTGTTACAAGCACTTGTGAATGTCGAAAAGCTACGCCATCGGTTCGCAAATCTACGGCGAGAGACCTTGTACTGAGAAGAACCGGCAAGAAACTCAGCAAGGGCTGTTTTATTCTCCCTGTATTATATACAGAGTCGTCAAATTGAAAAATGACTTCAATATAAGGTAACTCATAAAGTCACTTTCCAGTTTAGAATGTGTAGTTGAATATTACAGATTGTACAACTGCGTTTGCGAAATGTTTTCGGTGAGGGCGGGCCCTAATTTACCGGGAGGTGGAATGGACGCCATCCCTCACGGATTCAAATAAAAAAAGCCGCAATAGATTAAAAATATTTCCCCTCATTTTTTATTATTATTCTCAATTAATATTTCTTTTGAATACCTGGCATTGTGAGTCATGCCTCTTAGGTAAGTAATTTGCTTCGTTTTTCTTTTTAATCGTAGACTTAAGATTTTATTCATAGAACTGAATGGAGTGTCATCTTTTTTTTTATCTCTTCTTTGTATAATTTAATTTTTTAAAAAGTTTGTTTTGCAAGCTACTAAAGGCTTTATTGATAGCTCATTACTTTGAATGATAGTTTCCTTCTACACATAAATTATTATTCTAACCCTTATTATCGTATCGTATAAGGAAAAAGGAAATGTTTGAAAATTGTATTACCTACTGTAACAAGTAAAAACCAGTGTGAATGTAAAGGAATGTAGGCCTCGACTAGCTGCAGAGGAACTGCGGCGGGTCCGTTCCATCGCGCAGAGAGAAGCTCTGCGCCGATGGGACGAGGCACTCACGCATGCTGATGCTGGCCACTGGACCATAGAGGCCCTTCGACCGGTATTGGAGGAGTGGGTGGGACGTCGGCACGGTGGTCTCACCTTCCACATGGTGCAGATCCTGACCGGAGATGGGTGTCGGTCACTATCTGCACCGGATCGTCCATCGGGAGGAGATGCCGCGGTGCCACCACTGCGATGCTTCCGACGATACGGCCGAACACACCTTATTGGAGTGTTCGGCCTAGCAACGACAGCGCCGTGAGTTAATTGCGACGCTAGGATGCGGGACCCTGCTGAGCATGGCCTCGACCATGCTCCGCAGCGGGATGGCTTGGGGGGCAGCAGCCTCATTCTGCGAGGGCATCATCTCGCAGAAGGAGGCGGCCGAGAGGGAACGAGAGGATAATCCTCTGGCCTCTTCCTGCCGCCGTAGAAGGACAGGAAGGGGAAGGCGAAGGCCTAATACGCCCAGTGACCCCCCACCTGAGTGAATCCCTCGCTGCTCGGTAAGGCGTTAGCCATGCCGGCCACCGACGGATTCCGTGACGGCAGCTCTCTCATTTAGTTCTGTCCT